CTTTTGTAACCAACACTAAACCGTCCATAGACTGAGGCTCCAACATGACATCTTAGAGTCCTTCAAGAATTATGACAATTGTTTTATCGAGTAAGAGAATTTGTCCTATCCCTAAAACTTCCACTTGGATAAGATTGAGCTCAATGTTCAATCCAACAAGACTTAAATTCTCTCTTTTTTCATGATAAGCTTAGGGATGTTTGCATTATCACTATACTTCAGCTCAGGACATTGATGGTGGCCAAGTACTGCCGTAAGTTTTGTACCTAGGCTCCAACATGACATCTTACCGTCCTTCTCCAAGAATTATGAGAATTGTTTTATCGAGTAAGAGAATTTCTCCCTTTCCTAAAACTTCCACTTGGATAATGTTCAATCTAACAAGACTTAAATTCTCTCTTTTTTCATGATGAGCTTAGGAATGATTGCATTATCACTATACTTCAGCTCAGGACATTGATGGGGGCCAACTATGCCGTATGTTTTGTAAAATCTGAGCATGATCTGTGGTTGCACAGTTTCCTTTCAATTTTAGATGAGATTTTTGTCTTAATCTAATATATATTTGCATTATCTAAGACTTTAGAATAGGTCTGCCTAGAGGATTCCCAAATCTTCTTTGCTGTTATAAAAAAATGCAAGTATAGCTGACTTCTTTTGTCTTCACCAAATCTTCATCACTGAAGAGTCATCTTCAGCATATGAAACAAATTTCGAATCATCTTTTTTTGGCCCTTTTCCAAGAAGATTGCTTTAGTTTGTCTTTCTGTTTCAAAGGTTCGAATAAAGTGGGACCACGGAAAATAGTTTTCACCATCGAGATGTTGACTTGGTTTAATATTCTGAACTCTCCTCTGTAGTGTTTGTGGTATCATTTCTGCTACTGCATTGGACTCGTGGACTGATAAATTTAGAAGTCTTTTGCGTGATTTTGGTAGAAGTGGAGTGAAATATTGGCCCAAGACAACCAATATGAATGAAAAATAGTTCTAGATTTTTTTTAATGCGCTATGCAGGCTACTAATTTCAATTTCCAGAGAGCATTCCATCTTTTGATGCATGACTAAAACATGTGAAAATCACTTATTTTTAAAGTCAAGTGAAACATGTAAAGCGATGTATAGGAAAAACTAGTCAAACTACAAGGAAACTTCTCTGAGATTTATTCCCCATAAACCAGGGATTTTAATTGCCATAGTCTACATTTTAAAAACTGCACACACACAACTTTAATGTTCATTTTCCATATACCAAGCTATAAAATCTGCAGTATAGTCATACTATATCTATTAATTCTAACAAATTTTTCTATGTTGTAACGACACATATCACTTGTTGTGGCCTTGTTCATAATCTGAATAAATTGTAGTTATCATTGTAATGGTGCATATTGCTTGTAGTTGGCCATATTTATTAATGAAGAAATTGTAGTTATCATTTTAACTCCACTGATGCGGGCATGCCAACTCTTACTGCCAAGTTTTCCCACCAAAGTGAGGTGTTCTTCAATTTGATTGCCACTAGTTTGACGATATGCTCTTGTGACGCCTCCTTGAATTCCAGATTTGTTCAACTGTATGTAGTCAATCGATGAATTCATAGAGATCCAATATTCCATCAAAATTAGGAAGGTTGATTTTGATTCTAAAATGTTGAAGTTTTCGTTGATTTTCACGTCTCGCTATGAATCATTTACATGTGTTGATTTTCACGTCTCAACGTATGTAAAGGATTCATAGTGAGGTGTTCTTCAATTTGATGGGCATGCCAACTCGTATTCCAAGTTTTCCCACCAAAATGAGGTGTTCTTCAATTTGATTGCCACTAGTTTGACGATATGCTCTTGTGACACCTCCTTGAATTCTAGAATTTGTTCAACTGTATGTAGTCAATTGACGAAATTATAGAGAACCATTATTCCTTCAAAATCAGGAAAGTTGATTTTGATTATGAAATGTGGAGGTTTTCGTTGATTTTCATGTCTCAACGTATGTAGAGGATGTTCAACACCACCAGATGGCTCTTGATGTAATCAGTTATCTTCTTCATCGCCAAACACCTCATTTCTGGATTCAAGTTGATGTTCTTTTGGATCTTGTTGTTCAAGAAGCACCAATCTTGTTTGTAGACGAATTTATTGTTCCAATTCTTCCACAACCAATCCTCGGGCTGCATAGACATTGTTCCTCCTTGGTGGCATTTTCAATTGCTTTTAGCACCGAAAAAGAGAAAATATGGCTGAAACTTCTTTAGCAAAGATGAAGAGATGGAGGACAACAACTATTATAGGGGAAGAAAAGGAAGACAATGACCGAGCAGATGATCGTAGCAAGAAGATAACAATGAAGATGAAACTTTAAGAAGCCAGACAACAATGGAATCAATAATCAAATCAGGGACAAGTTTTTGTTTGCTTCCTTGAAAGAAAAACAAAAGACCGTGCAAGAATTCAGAGAAGGAAGAGAAAATATGTGCAAGAACTATACCAAGATGGTATGCCAACAAGGCAAATTGAAATCTGCAGTTTTGAAAATTCCAAAAAAAGGAGGAAAGCTTGGCTAAAAATTCAAGGAAGAGAAATAATGCATTAACTAAAAGGAAAGATTATTCATCATCATCTATACGCCACTCCAGGATAATGAATACATTTCTTAATAGAATGATACAGGAAAGGTTATTACAACCAATCAAAACTCCTAACATACAACACAGACATAGATAGGCAAGCCCTCAAGAAAAACATAAAATTAAGAAAAAAGGCTTAATTACAAGTATTACACCATAAATCCAACAATCATTAAGATAGTCCCTAGCTTTATTAAACCAAACTCTTTTTATCTTTACCACAAATTGATTTTTTCCGTGTGGAAAAATGAAGATGTTGGATCTTACTTAAGAATTTTGATTTAAGAAAAAATCTATAACCAGCAACCAGAATAGTTTTTCTAATTTCTAGGATAAAGACTGGGAATCAAACACGAGATGATTGGGTCATATGATTCATAACCTTGGAATTCCTTATTCAAGTTTCTTTTGAGATTTGATAGATTAAGTGCATAATGTTCAGAATTATCTGAAAAATCCGGTGAAAAAATAACTATCAGCAGATTTCTCTCTAATATCCCCAAAAACTATCTTAGATTCTCATTTTCATTTCTATTGAGTTCGGATCGCTCTTGAGTTAATTCTTCATCTCTTAATTGTGTTATGGTCAAATGTGGGGGCTCTAACCCTCCTCCTTGATTACTTTTTGTTTTCAAATAAGTATTTCCATTCCTTCTTCCTATTGTATCATGGCTTTCCGTAGTAGGTAAAGAGTTTTTACTTACAAGAACTTAATTTTGTTCTTCACTTAGCTTGACTAGGCGTTTAGATGCTGCTGATCTGATTTCACACATATGGGGTGGTTTGTAACTTTTGTAACCAACACTAAACCGTCCATAGACTGAGGCTCCAACATGACATCTTAGAGTCCTTCAAGAATTATGACAATTGTTTTATCGAGTAAGAGAATTTGTCCTATCCCTAAAACTTCCACTTGGATAAGATTGAGCTCAATGTTCAATCCAACAAGACTTAAATTCTCTCTTTTTTCATGATAAGCTTAGGGATGTTTGCATTATCACTATACTTCAGCTCAGGACATTGATGGTGGCCAAGTACTGCCGTAAGTTTTGTACCTAGGCTCCAACATGACATCTTACCGTCCTTCTCCAAGAATTATGAGAATTGTTTTATCGAGTAAGAGAATTTCTCCCTTTCCTAAAACTTCCACTTGGATAATGTTCAATCTAACAAGACTTAAATTCTCTCTTTTTTCATGATGAGCTTAGGAATGATTGCATTATCACTATACTTCAGCTCAGGACATTGATGGGGGCCAACTATGCCGTATGTTTTGTAAAATCTGAGCATGATCTGTGGTTGCACAGTTTCCTTTCAATTTTAGATGAGATTTTTGTCTTAATCTAATATATATTTGCATTATCTAAGACTTTAGAATAGGTCTGCCTAGAGGATTCCCAAATCTTCTTTGCTGTTATAAAAAAATGCAAGTATAGCTGACTTCTTTTGTCTTCACCAAATCTTCATCACTGAAGAGTCATCTTCAGCATATGAAACAAATTTCGAATCATCTTTTTTTGGCCCTTTTCCAAGAAGATTGCTTTAGTTTGTCTTTCTGTTTCAAAGGTTCGAATAAAGTGGGACCACGGAAAATAGTTTTCACCATCGAGATGTTGACTTGGTTTAATATTCTGAACTCTCCTCTGTAGTGTTTGTGGTATCATTTCTGCTACTGCATTGGACTCGTGGACTGATAAATTTAGAAGTCTTTTGCGTGATTTTGGTAGAAGTGGAGTGAAATATTGGCCCAAGACAACCAATATGAATGAAAAATAGTTCTAGATTTTTTTTAATGCGCTATGCAGGCTACTAATTTCAATTTCCAGAGAGCATTCCATCTTTTGATGCATGACTAAAACATGTGAAAATCACTTATTTTTAAAGTCAAGTGAAACATGTAAAGCGATGTATAGGAAAAACTAGTCAAACTACAAGGAAACTTCTCTGAGATTTATTCCCCATAAACCAGGGATTTTAATTGCCATAGTCTACATTTTAAAAACTGCACACACACAACTTTAATGTTCATTTTCCATATACCAAGCTATAAAATCTGCAGTATAGTCATACTATATCTATTAATTCTAACAAATTTTTCTATGTTGTAACGACACATATCACTTGTTGTGGCCTTGTTCATAATCTGAATAAATTGTAGTTATCATTGTAATGGTGCATATTGCTTGTAGTTGGCCATATTTATTAATGAAGAAATTGTAGTTATCATTTTAACTCCACTGATGTAGCTTTTGTAGTGCGGTTTTATTTCAAGGAGCTTAATTAGTTGAGCCATCTTATTTTCTTCTTTAATAGATATTTTCTTGGATTTTATTCTGGCATTATACTAATTTTGATCCATTTTTTTCTATGAGTAGGCGTTTCCTATGCCACAAGCCGTCCTTCTGAAGATGTTGATTCCCGAACCATCTTTATTAGTAATGTATGCGCTATCATCCCTCTAATTTCTTTTCTATAATAATAATAGTTGGCATGTAAGCCTACTATATGTTTGTTTTGCAGGTCCATTTTGCTGCTACTAAGGACACCCTTTCCCGACATTTCAATAAGTTCGGAGAAGTTCTAAAAGTAATAATTGTGACTAATCCTGCAACTTGTCATCCTATAGGGTTAGTGTTGTCTAGACGGCTAATGGTTAGCCTTCCTGTTTCATTTCAAGTTATGTAAAATCTAACCTTATATTTTCTCCTTGTAACAGGTCAGCTTATGTTGAGTTCCTGCGTAAAGAATCGGCAGAGTTAGCGCTTTCATTGAATGGCACTTCATTTATGTCTCGTATTTTGAAGGTAATGATAATCACATCATTGTCTATTTGTTTGAAGAAATGGAAAGTGATTTTCTTGTATTGGCTCACGAACGAGGAATTTGCCTATATTCAATCACTTATATTAGTGTATAATATCGTTCAAGAAAATTTCAATGTTCTGACACATACACTTGCATTCCTTCAAGCACTACGGCTAGGCACAAGGCATCGCTTTCGTTGTGATTTTTTTCGAGTTTAATACACGGCTTACTCCCTGGAGTTCGGCTTCATAATATAGTCTTACGGGATGACATGCTGCACTGGAGGATTTCATAAGGGGCACAATTCTTATGTATTTACATATCTCACACTTAAACTTTCAGATTGCACACATAACACTCAAATCTTTTAATATCACATAAAAGATAGCACTATTAGCATGTCTAAAAAGTGAAATACACCTTTTCATGCATAGGATTAAAGCACCAAAGTGCTATGTATGTAAATATGAAAGTTTAGATGTGAGATATGTAACTACATAAGACTTGTGTGCAACGTATGTAAATTTCCATTCATTTAAAGCCTTTAGCACAACATGAAGATAAGTTTGAAAACTATTTAACGACTTGCACTTCCAAACTCTTCATCAGGTTGTTAGGGGAAGCTCTGTGGATTCCCATGCGATCGGTTGGCCACGGATTGCTCGTCCTTCTCCATTCACTTCGAGGCTCGGTAGAATGCCATTTCCTAGGGGTATTCTCACAGGTGCTTTTCGAGCACGCCTTCCCGTAAAGCCAGGAGCAAGAAGCTTGCAATGGAAGCGCGAGTCCACTGCTCTTCAAACCCTCGAGGGCCCAAGAAGTGTTCAAAATATGCCTGTAACACATGGAAATGCTCCGCACGCAATTACAAAGCGAAATCTCACATACATTCGGCCGGAAAATACCTAAGGGAATTCTGGCTGGCTCTACATATATTCAGGGTGAGACTTAGAAGGGCCACTCATAATGCCATCTTCCTTCCTTCCAGAACTCCTGCCTCGCCAAACTGGAGATGATTTCTAACTAAGTTTGATGGGAAGAGTTTCTGCTTTTCAGATCTTGAAGAAACGACGAACACCAAAAATGGCTTTGTGCAGATGATGTCTGATGGATGGCTCCCCGTGTCATTTAACATTTGTGCCGGTGTTCTATGCAAGGCTTCCTTGCAGTCAATGAACAACTACTATCGTTTTCTCTCTTTTTGTATTTTTGGGCTCATTATTTTACTGATATTTTGAGTTTGATTTTATGTTTATTCTAAGAATCTGCTTGTGTAGTGATTCTGCATTAATGTATCGCCGTCTATTGGTTCTGCTTATTTGAAGTTTGCGAGTTATCTAAATTGTATGTAGCTACGCAAATATCCACTATTTTACAAAATAAATGTTGCAGATGTATCATAGCTTACGTCCTTGGAGTTATTTTCGTGGATATTTTCCTTTCTCTTGAAGGTTTCAAAGTTTGCAATGTGTGTTATTATGGGAGCTTTAACATAGATAAGGCGAATCAAAGATGACAATGGATTGCTGCAGCAGGAACCTTCAAATTATTGGCAGCGTTAAGCTCAATGCAGTGATCTTTTTGTGGCGTTACAAATTGCACAAATAGAAGCAGCGTATGAGATCAATTTTGTGTTTGACAAATGACTTGAATTGCCGAGAGTTTTATGTTTTGCAGGGAGCTTTGGGAATCAGTGGCCAAATAAGAAAGATAAGAGGCTATTTGAAGGCGGTGCTCAAGAGTTTTGCCATATTGACCAAATTATTTAAAAAAAATAGACTAAAGTATTCTATCTATTTTTTTAATGTCTGCTGATTCTAGATGTCGAGTAGATATGGGGAGATTTAAGTTACTTATGCATTTGGGACATTATTTTTATATGGAAAATAATGTCTAATTCAATTGAACATAGTAGATGAAAAGATGCTGTACTTATTTCAGTTGATGTTGTGGCGAGAAAGTTAATAGGGTTTTAGAGGTGATTTTGTTAATCTCGTGTCGAGAGGTGGATGGATGAACTTGAGATGATATAAGAATATTGAAGGGACTAGGAATGGTCTGAATGGTTCTAGAGGCGATAGTGATATAATCGTAAGGAGATGTACGTGATTGATGCAGAATAGGAGACGGTTTAACAGACAAACATATAAGATAACATATGCGCGCTAGTTTGATATAGCAACGTTGGTGTGCTACTTGAGGAAGGATCATGTCTTCATGCCATCAATTAGACAAGGATTTCTACTATCCCTCCAATTGCTATACCTTAATTTTAGACATCTCAAATCTTAATTCCAAAAATACTTCAAGTTTTTAAAATACATGCCTCATGATATAAATAATTATATCTTTGTTCTTATTTTAATTGATTTGATATATTTATTTATATCATGCCTAAAATTAAGATGAGGCATGTATTTTATCTTTAAGAACAAAGATATAATATCAAACTCAAAGATATAATTAAAATATAATTCTAATTAAAATGCCTCATCTTTATTTAACTATTTGTTCAAAATAGTTTTAATTAAAATGCCTCATCTTTATGTATGCATTTTAAGTATCAAAACTTGTATTATATCACGAGGCATGTATTTTATCAAAAGTTCTTAATTTCTTAAAATGAATTTGCATACATTTTAAGAAATTAATTTTTATAAATTTTATGCAAATTCATGCTACCACTATTTTTTATCAATATTTTCACTAATCAACTAAATATTATTTCTAACATTTTAAATGTATATACTACTTAAAGATAAGTAAAGAATCTAATCAAACTCAATAACTATTTGTTCAAAATAGTTTTTCATTATACTGTAGAAACTTTGTAAAATACTTGATAAAATAAATAAATATTAAGAAAAAATCAGTTAATAATTAACTAAATCATATTACATTTAATAAATATTTATTAAGCTATTTATTACAAAACATCTAAGTTTATCCAATGATGTAATTAGTTTTCAAGTAATGCATTATTCTAATTTATTTATTTTTACAACTTATTTTCATGAATTTTAATCAACTTACATAATATAACTAAATAACCCAAACTAATGGTATGTTTAGGATAACTTTCTGCCTGCTTTGCGTTTCAGACCCCCACCAAAATTCTGTTTGAGAAATTATTTTCTTTCTGCTTTCTATAAATTTTTGTGTTGGGACGATTTTTTGGGAAAAAAAATATTTATAATTCTCATCGAAGCTTTCTAAGAATATGCTTTTTCTACGATAATTATACATTAGTTTTTACAAAAAAAATACTATCGGCCCAAACATATCCTAAATGTACCTACTCATACCCCATTACTATTCCCAATTAACAAATTAATAATTAAAAACTAAAGTCGTATTTTTAATGATTTTAACTAGCAAGAAAAAAAGAAATTCAGGATTAAGCAACCTATTAATTCAAATAAAAAAGAGTCAT